TTTGTTCATGGAAATTTTGCTCAGCATTCAACGGTATGTTAAAGCATTGCACGTGTAAGTTGTTCACTCCTCGGGTTGAAGGAGTAGCGAATTCGAGAACGAAGATGAACAAAGCCTCGTTTGCCTCCACGCCAGGATCAATAGCTTTGCCCAGCGAGCGATTTGGAATTCTGAAGCAGTCACAATCTTGGAGGGCAAGTGAGGGTAAAGCAGCGAAGAAACAGAAAGTCACCAGCATTTTATCCATGGATAAGGCCATGACTTTTGTCACCATGCACATGGACATGGTCATAGAGGCATTGCATGCTCAAAAAGATGTCCGCCAGCCTTGTGATGGTACCGGGGCCGGAGCCGTGACGCCAGTTTGGTAGATGGGCCTTTGGTTTGGGTCCTTGCTGCGTATGCAACTAGTTTTGCAGGATCTCGGTCTCATAGCCTTTGACTTCGGCCTGGTGACTGAGATTGGCTGGCTTTCCCTACACGGTTCTCCTGAATTTTGACAGCTTGCCTCAGTTTTGTTGGTGAACAACGTCAGCAGCTGGTTCTCCAACTGGAAGCCCTACGGCTAGCGGTGTCCCTATGATGGATCGTGCTGATGTGGCCCAACCTCTGGCGGCTGCTGCAGACGAAGCAATTCAGGCTGCAGTGGAGGCTGTGCAAGTTGAATCACGCTCAAAGGGAACGAGAACAAGAAGAACAACAAGAAAAAGAAAAGGAAAAGGAAAAGAACAAGAACGAGAACGAGAACAAGAACAACAACCACCACCACCACCACAACCACCACCACCGCCGCCACCACCACCACCACCGCCACAACCACAACCACAGCAACCAAAACCACAACAACCACAACAACCACAACAACCACCACAACCACAACCACAACAACAACAACCACCACCACCACCACCACCACCACCTGCGAGAATTATCACCCCAGAAGAGTAGATAATTGCAACTGAGATGTGGACAACTCTGCTTGACAACTCACGCCCTTTTAGTCTCACTGTGCTAGCAGAATTTACGCCTCCTAATCTTGAGCCAACATGTTGTTGGCGGAATGCTGATCTCGTTGGTCAAAGGAAGCACGATGCGGCTAAGCATGTTCACAATGCTGTGGCAACAGGGAGAGCTGAAAGCTTGGTTGCAGTCAAATTCTTTAATTGTTCCCAAACTCACATTCGGTTCAGACGTCATGTCTGCTTACTCTAGTTCGGAAAAAAAAAACTCTTGCAAATTTGCACGGCTCTCAGATTGGAAATGTGATCAAAAGCGGTTCAAAAACTTCGATCTCACAGATTGCTTGGACCCAGGAAACGCAAGACAATAGGAGATCATCAGGATGTTGAAAAAAATCTCAACCGTGGAAACGTCGCAAAACGATTTCTGAGAGGCTTCAAACTCATAAGCTGTACCGCAGCTGATTATAAATTCCTCTTTTGCACGTCTAAATGTTTCTGCAAAATTGAAATCACTGTGTGAATTCGGCGTTCGAAATCTCAACGCTCTGTCAAAGATTGAAATCACTGTTCCGCGTTCGAAATCTGAACGCGCTGTCAGGAAAGTTGGAAATCAAGCTCTAAACATGCAGACGACTTGCTCAAATCGCACAAAACGTGTCACATGCTATGCAGCAAAAGACACTTTCACAGATCTCTGAAATCACTTGCAAATTTCGGAGAACATTATTCCAAGCTGGCAATGCAAACTGAATGGCACAGGATGAGTTTATAGCATCATCAAGCAAGTTCAGCTTACTGTTTTGGAGGAGGTTGCAAAGAGTTTTGAGGTGCTCGGAGGAGCGCTCAAAGGGATTGATGGCATGCTGAAAACAAGCAAATCTCTAGATCCAAGTGTCATACTTAGATGGCTGCCGCTTTGCTCACGCATGTGGGTATGATTTGATATAGTATCACGTGAAGTCAAATAGACTTGAAGACTTTGCTAAAAGCAAGTTTAGTTGGGGCAACATTTGCTTGTAGCTTGTAGCAAATGATTAGTGATTGGTTGAGAGTCCGCCAGCGACCAAACAATGAATACGCATCGAAAGAGGTGTATGACATTCGCACCCCCTTTCGCTGGCTGAATCTCAATTGCATGGCCCATCGGCTCATCATCTCACTGAAAATCGCACTTCCAGGCCTGATCGGGCTCTGGCAGCTAGCTTGGCATCTCTTTTTTTTTTCGGAGCTTATCCCAGGCAGGAAAGAATGGAGAAAACAACGACGATTCAAACTGGGTTCTCAAGCGGTTTCTTCATGGAATATCGGATTTCTGTCATGCCAGGCTCAAAAAATCGGTATGCTGGGAGTGTGGACTTGGCCATGTCCTTGCCTATGTAAACATCTCGATAGGCCTGAGCGATGATGCTACACATCGAAGCAGGATAATGACTTACTTTGTCCCAATTGACTGCATTGAATGCAACGCGACTTTCACAATTGCACTCTGTGTGATTTGCCAACGATCTGGCTAAACTTGGATGGGTTCCCAACCACAAGAAAATCTTTCCAACCTTAGGATCTGTTTCAGGAAAACCGGAAAGCCGAGGGAACTGTGCATAGATATGGCGACCTACTTTCACAAAGAAATCTGCCATGAACTTACTGTTCCAATACCTATTTCTCTTGGGTAGCTCGAAAGTGAACTCATCTGCTGCAACGGCGAGGCTTTGGCTCAGTTTCAAAATTTGTTCCAACTCAGAAACTTGCGTTGATTCAATGGGCTCAGCATCTGCTGGGATATATTCAGGCGTGTCTGAATTTCCTGAAGGCTGAAGGGAGAAATGCACATAAACAGGCTTACCTTTCTTTGAAAATCGCTGCACAAGATCACTGAGCTGGGCATGAAACATTGTGAAATCTGCCCTTGTGGAAACTCGGATGACTGCCATTTGAATGTCTCCACAAAAACTGGCTTGAATCGACTCGATTAAATTGCTGTTCACACCGCAACATATTTCCAAGAAGATCCCTGAAAACTTACTAGGCGACAATTCTGGTAAATTGGCTTCTTGTGTTTCTAAGGTCAAGCTCAATGGTTGTGAAGCAAAAGGTGATGGATCTGATTTCTGGGCGTTTGGCACAAAGACTGTGGAAGCAAGCGCGTGCTCTTCATCTTGGGAGTTCGACTCCAAAGATTGAATATTCACTGACTCCGGCCTACCCCCATACAAAATGCTTTGGATTTGATTCGTCTTTCCTTTCTTCTTTTTGGCTGTCTGCTTTGTTTGGGATTCAGATTGTTGGTCTGCCAGTTTGGCTGGAAGTTCTGCTGATTCAATGAATCCCATTGATGTCCTGAATTTCAAAAACAGCTTTATTCCTAAACACTTGGTCAAAATATCTGCAATTTGCTGTGAACCCTCGACCCATGTGAGAATGATGGTTCTTCTTCGGACCATCTCTTGGCAGAAACAAATTCTCAACTCAACATGGCGACTGCGTCTTTGGAGCCCTGGTGAGGTCAGGACTCGGATGGCTGCTTGGGAATCACAACGGACTTCCACCTCAATGGCTGTGGCATGTTCAAGGTCTTCATCAACTAATCCAAAAATCAGGGAGTTTGCAAGACTGTGTATTCGATCTGAAGCTTGAAAACTTTCATGGATGTTGGTCACATGCGCGTGAGTTTCTAGAAAAAGATGCTCAGAGATACGCTTGATTCCCATGCTCTCTTGAAAGGATTCAGCTAATGCTGACAGTTCCGACTCGCAACTTGAAAGTGCGACCACTTGTTGCAATCTTGTGAAAGCTTTGATGGACCCGCGATAAAAAAACGCACGCGCCAGAAATTGATCTACGCTTGAGAAAGCGCATTGGGGCCCAGCTGGCATCACAGTAGATTACCAAGCGTTGCGCTTCTTGTTCCTCGATGGTTGCTTCGGGAGATGGGAATCTCTGGTAAATGCCTCTTTGGCTTTTCATGAATTTCAACACTGATCTCAAAGCCTTTTCATGGCGATCTTGCGGTGTGGCCATGCCTGTGGCTAGCAAAGCTATGTATACATTGATGAAAACATATGTTTGGGACATCCAGGACAGTTTGCCTAAGGCTGCTCTGTACCGCATGGCCGCATCTGGGGATAATTCATCAGACTTGGAACTGTCTTCAAGTCTCGGTCGAAGATCTGGAGGATTTGTACCGGCAGTGCTGATGCTGTAGGCCTGAAACATACCATCTAAATAGTTTTCATCCAGACTGGTAATCTCTTTGCTGTTGGATTTTCTTTCGATGTTGCGGCCAAGAAAACGCAAACTGCCACCCCCTTCAAAACTTCGCTCTATAAGCCCCGTACGTTTTACTTTTAGGTGTAGGGCCAAATGGTCTTGAACGGCAACTGCAAATACCTTACTCGGGGCAAACACGAGCAGATCATCAACGCATGCAACTACTTGCACCCATGCCTTTCCATGCCCTTTGACTGAAACCTCTCCAGAAAAAACAGTTGTTTCAATCAAAGACGGTTTGATTCCTAACTCTTGCAGCCAGTGGCTTAAGTGCTCTACCCAAGCCAAACCGCTTGTTCTCAAGCCATTTTTTGAATGCTTCGAGGAATATCGGGCTACCATCTGGAAACTGCATAGTATTTGGTGGCATCTTCAGAATGACTTTGATGGGTTTGCCAAGACGCCGGCCTAGAGGAGAAGCCATGAATGCAGCACTGATGTCCAGGCCTAGAATCACCAGGTCCAGGACTGCTGCTTCTGCAATGAGGATTCTCAAAGATTCAATGCTGGAAGTAGGCGAAGAAACCATGAGGTCACGGGCTGAACTCTCCTTTTGCCATTTCCCGTGCAACTAGTCGCATGCGAACATTCAAGGGATCTTTCTCAACACAAACCCATCGGCAAGTGATTATACTAATCTGCCATTGCTTGGCAAGACGCTGGGCTTCCTGCTCATGGATTGGTCTGCCAACCTTCTGACTGGTCATGGAATCGATTTCAGTGTGCATCCCTGCATACGCAAGGTCTTTGTCAAGATATTGGCCATTGGCGTCACTGATGACATATCCAGGAAACAAAAGTAAGAATTTCTTCCCCACAAAGGTTTGCCTTGCTGCTCTTGGGTTTCACTCCACGGATCTGATAAACCGATTGCAACATGCCAATGTGACGCTCTTCTAAATACGAAAGCTCAAAGTTATCCAAGGCTGTTACCAAATCTAACTCCATAGCTTCCGTGGCTGTAGGTTCGCCTCCAGCAGCTGCAAATTCACTTAGATCTACCATTCCGTCAGCAGAGTCGTCTACTTCCATGTCATGGATGACTTCTGGCTCGTCCAACGCCTTTGGAGAACTGGGCGCAAGGCTGGGCGAATATGGAACATCATGTGGATTCTCATCGAGATGTTGACCCCCTTCAACTGGGAGACTTTCTGGTATGGGTTGATTCTTTGGAAGATCAAACGAAACTCGTTTCTCTCTGTTTGCTGGAAAGTCTGGAAACCTCTGCTGGATGGGTTCATCAGCTTCACCCAGGCCTGGCGGTGGCTTCTGCTTGCCACTCAAACGTCGCACCTGGCTGCCATCGGCTGCCAAAACAGGACCCTGAGACATATTGAGATCAGACATGGGATCTGATCGTCTCCTCAACAATTCAATGTATCTGTCTATACATTTTCTATTGTGCTTCAGTCCGTGGAAACTCTGATGGCGCGCACAAACACTACAACCTTTAGTACGTCCATGCTCATGAATCCAGGATGAAGGAACATTCTTGACGTTTGAATATTCCACAGGCTCGATAATCCTAGATGGCAGAGGTTCAGACATCTTTGCGGAGAGATCTTCAATGGAAACATCAAGCTGCATCCGGTCGAAAAAATGCAAAACAGATGGAGACAAGGAGACGTCCCACTCCAATGGGGAAACAATCTTAAAGCTCTTGCAAACAAAGAAACGTTCTTGCCCTCCAATGACAGTACAAACGACATCTCCCAATGAGTTGAACTCAGGTCGCAAATACATTGCCTTCTCAAATCGGGAAATGCAATCTTTCTTCAAGCTAGCTGGCACCTCTGCAAGGACAAGGCTGCCAAACATGGTTGTTTTCGGCATGCGGCTGATACGGCGCCCTTGGAAGGGTTGTCGATTTTGAGATGTGCCATTTACGATCCCGTGGAAGGGTTGCAAATTTCAAAAATGAGGTTTTCCGAAATGGGGGTATAGGATTTGAAATTTTCGATTTTTTAACGTGTTGCACATGGAAGAGGCACAGGTTGCATATGTTGTCGTATGATCGTCAGGGGATGTTAACGTTCGTGTCGAGCGCTTCCCTCACGGCACGGAAGAGGCACATGTTGCATTTGTTGTCGTATGATCGTCAGGGGGGGTGGGGGGGGATGTTAACGTTCGTATCGAGCACTTCCTTTACGTTACAGAAGAGGTTGCCGTTGCTGACATCTTGCATTGTCTGACGCGCTTTTTGCGGATTTCCTGCGTGAACCTATGTTGGTCGTGGTTGGATTTCCTCTAGAACCATTATTGCTGGAACTCAACAACTTGATGGAACTTGGAAACACTTAAAAAAATGGCGACCTCAATCCATGCTCCACAAAAGAAACAACAGGTGTACCAAAAACGGTACAGTTATGCTTACAGCTGGACTTGGCGTCACAACGCTGCCTTGTTACAGACTGTAGCATCAGCACTGCCACAAGCACTCTGGCACCGCTAACCTCGAACAGTGGAAAAAAAAGAGGATTGAATACCGCCTTGATTGATGTGATTTGGATGACTTAAAATCATAAAATTCTAATGTTTTTTTTCACCCTTGAAGAGAAAAATCGAGTCACTGCGCAGGCGAAATTCAAATTTTCACCCTTGAGTCACACGCCTGCCAATCGAAATGAATGTCCATGTTGTACACATTTTTGACGACTCCTGCAAATACCAGCATTTTCTCTCTTACCCTCAAAAATGACAATTTCAAATTCGTCACCCTTACAAGGGCGCCGAGTCAACCGGTTGCCTTGTTTTCCGGGTCGTCTCCCGACCAAGTGCAAGTGACTTTGGACTTTGTTTTGTATCTAAGTAGCATGAGAAATAATTGGAGCAATGACATAAATATGCCAAAGCGGCATTCACAGCTGTCTGATTCCTGACGCAAACATCACAGCCATTCTCACGCAAGTCTTGCCGAAGAGTGTTGAACGCATCTTTAATGGCTCGGACTCCAGCCTCTGCTCCACCAATGGTCTGGTGACCTTGCGGCGGCGCTTTGACAAATGAAGCTGGCCTGTGGTTGATGGCACCTCTCATGAAACTTGAAACAGCTTCTTCTGCGTCCGTGATAATTTCAATTGGCTCGGAGCATTCTGTGGACATATTGAATTCGCCAAGCCAGGCCTGCATCCATCGGTGCGACAAACGAATGTCCGACTGGACAGGGGCCACGCCTTTCATTCCAGTGGTCAAATCTACCATGATTAGATACTTGAAAGACTCTTTGTTTGCTTTATCCAAGTTCAAGAAGAAAAAATCACATGCCATCTCACTGCTCAACACCAACTTCTTCTTTCTTCTGTGGTGAGTCGTGGACTTGGCTGCTTGGCAAGAAAGGCAATCTGCATGGAATGGAAAATGGCCTTGACGGCGGTGTTGTTCAAGCTTGGATTTATTCAAGTCTCGTTTTCGCAATACAGCTGGATGCTCTGAAGACTCTTCTGAAGGAATGGATGCATATCCTGTGTTTGTGTCTACAATCATATTGGGCTTATAATCAAAAGGCTCGCTCGAATCCGGAACAGAGTTAGGCTCCACACTGAGGCTTTCACGGTATGGAGATTCACTATCGGAAACAGGCCTACTACTAACATATGCTGGGCTAGAAGAGGATGCAGCAGCGGGGTCAAGTTCTTCCAATGAAACATCTGGCTGTCTCTTGGTTGTCATCACCATGGATTTGTCAGTTTCGCTCAAATGCTCAACCGTGTTCACCGGACCATCATGGATTTTCCGACGGCTCCAAAATGTCTTCTGCACATCGCGATCATCGGAAAAGTCCATGACCGTCTCAACTTCGTGAAAAATCCATGGCACATTCTGCCATGTCACCAAGTCCAAATTGTATCCTCCAAAGCACACTTCCAATTCACTTCCGGAACTGCTTAATGACCAACCCTTTCGCAGCAAGCTGCCCACTGACAAAACATTATTGGGAACATCTGCTACAAAAGCTGAAACTAAGCACTCTTTCAACATGGTGTCTGAAGGATCTTCTCTGGACGTCAAGCGGCGAATGCTTTCAAGCAAACAAGGAAAGTTGGATGAATTGTCTCACCGCTTGCCGATGAAAACCCAGGGCCGGTTGCTGGTCCCAGCACTTGATTCTTTACTACTTCATAGTGTTTCAGGAAGCGAGAACTCACAACAGAGGCTGATGCTCCTGAATCAATGAGCCACCAGTGAAAATCTGATGGGACATCTGGCATCATTGGCATGAAAACTGCAGCTGACATGGTACAAACACGCTTGGTTTTACTCCACAAATCTGGTGGGTTTCCAAAACATGAAAAATCAAAATCAGAAGAAAATTGTTCCTCCATGAGAAATGATCCGTGGACCAAATCGAACTGCTCTTCTGTGATCTGCTCTCGCTCAAACTGCACGATCGTGTCTTCAAACCAAGACTGAATGGGATTCAAAGGGGCTGCTGCTTCCTTCGCAGCTGACGCACGGCTGCCATCTCCATTGGAACCCTGACTTTCAGCTGGACCATTGGTAGGCCACGATTCGCCTTCAGGCTGCTCAAGCATTTCATTGACTTTCTTACCTTTGGATCCTTCGCCTTTTCCTTTGTTCTGAGGACCTGTGCTGGAACCTTTTTCTTCACCAGATCCCTTTCCATCTTTCTTTGGAGCGGGCTTCCCTTCAAGCGGCTTGCCATCCTTGTCTTTCTTGGCATGACAATTTGAAGAGAAATGGCCTGTGCGACCACATCGGAAACACGTGGCATTCTGTTCCTTCTCTGACTTTTCACCATTGCCCTTAGCTGCGCCTTTATTTGAATCTTTTGCTTTCCCCTTTCCTTTCTTACCATCTTTGCTTTTGCCCTTTCCTTTCGGCTTGTCATTCGTGTCAAACATTCCATGCATGTAGGTGGCAGAACTGCTGCCTGCAATCTCTGTCCAAGTTCTCTGGTTGGCTTCGTACAACAAAGCGGCATTTTTCATTTGCACATAGTCATGGCTTGGGCTATGCATGACGACATATTCCCTCACACCAACAGGCAAGGATTTGATGAGGACCATCACCAAATCACTAGGGAGCAGGGCCAAATCGGAAGCTGGTACATTCGAGGGCAACATCCGAGCAAGCTTGTCGTACCTGCTCTCCTCGAACTCAAGTTGCTTGATTGCCTTTGTCACTGTTTGAGCTTTGAAAGTTCGGCCAAGCAAAGATGTGCGGAAATGCATCAACTCAGCACGAGTCTTGATCATGTATTCTTGGACAATCCTTCGCAAAGCCTCATACCCGTTCTTATCTCCAGGGCCTTCTACATAAGCAAGCAGAATGATTTTGGCTTGCGGAGTCATCTGGAAGGTCTGGCGAAGCATTGCCATGAGCCTGGAGCTTCGGGAAATCTGGTCAGTTGACAAATCTTTCTTGTCAATTGGCAGCGGAGAAGTCGCAGAAAACTTCACTTCTGTGCAAAATGGCTCTGAAATCAAAGATAGCCAATTGCAAAATGAATCGAGCCACTGTTCCATGCCCAAAATCTCCTCCATTCGGCTTTTCCACCGATTCGACTCGACCACGGGCATGCTAGGCAGCCACTTGTCGCTTCTCTGCAGCGCATCTAGCTGTGTGGATCCAGGAACTTTAGGACCCGCGCATTTGACTGTCCGCCCAAGGGGATCTCCGTACCATCGGGTAAGACAATTTTTACCCCATGTCCAGTGCTTGAGCTCGGATTCACTGCAGTATTTGGCATCGCCGATGCAAGTCCACCTGCACCTTGCTGAGCATTCACTAGCAATATCTAGCAATTGGATGGGCGGGTCTTGTCCAGAAGTAAAAGGACTGGCTTCTCCCATGGCACCGAAGCGATCCTCATTGGCAGCCGCCACTGACTGAGAAGCACTTGGAGGGATTGGCACTCTTTGGGCTCGTGAATCATTCAGCTCATGCTGCTGACGCTCAAGGGTGTCAACAAGAGTTTTCTGGTGACCTGGAAGTTCTCGAACTGCCTTGCCAACTTCCGCTTGTAAAGTGTCCATGCTCATTCGGACTCGATTGAGTTGCTCCTCGAAGACAAAGGGGACGGAGGCGTTTGCACTTCCAGGGGCATATCCGGTTGTTGCAGGCAAAGAAACCCCTCTTCTCGTTTGAGAACGGCCTCTCGGTGACCTGTGTCTGGCCGACTGCTCCCTGGCTGCAAAATCAGATTCTGCTAGATGTAGGTTCCAAGATCTCTTGTCAAGATCAGTTGTCTGATGTCAATCCTGAACCCTGAGGAAAGTGGAGGAACGGCAGGAAATAGGTTGGAAAAAACGAAAGAATGGAGGAAAATGGAGGAGCTCCGAAGCTCAACGGCGGGCAGCGTCCGTTGGGGTTGGGAACAAGATAGTTTGCAAGGGGATGAGAAGTGATACTGAGGGAGGGGGGGCGAAGTGTTGCAAACCAAGGAGAAGTCTTCCAAAGGTGCTGCAGATGGTTTGGGCTTCTAATCTAGTTCATACGGGATTGTAAGAGGACGTTTGGGGGCTCGGGGCTGGCTTTCGTCCCCCCTTCTCAGGTGGTGACGCATTTTGCACCAATACATACTAATATCTACAACCAGACGACGTTACGCACAGAAGCCTTTACACAGAGCAGCTTTTACGCGCAGCTATTCTTACACAGAGAGGTTTGTGCGCAGAGAAACTTTTGTACACAGACACCTTTACACACAGAGGTTTTGACGCAAAGAAGGAAGTTTTTACATACCGATGCTTTGTACAAAGATTTTTTGCGCACATAAAAAAAAGGCACGTCGGCATTTTTACACACAGAACCTTTGCCACAGAGAAGGCTTTGCACAGAACAATTTTTACACACAGGTTTTGGTTTTTTTGGCACCGAAAAAAATAGACACTGAAAAAATTGTACACACATACTGCGCAAAAAGGAATACACACCGATTTTTTTGCACGCAGAAACTTTACCCAGAACAGTTTTTACACAGCAGAAACTCTTCCGCACAGAAGCCTTTACGGACAGTTTTTTTTATGCACAGCAATTTTAATGCACAACAATTATTTAAGGGCTGCCGCCCCTGCCGCCGACCCCGGAAGAATGGTCAAGTAAGCAAACCAAATGGGCACTTGACTTGGTTGGCTTCATTGCTCCAAGTTACCCCTGTTGGTTGATGGGTATATGTTGATGGGATCCTTCGTCGCGACCAGTTGGCTTCACAGCACCGCAAGTCATTTTGTCCATGTTGGCTTACCATCAGATTTCCGACATTTGAAACAAAATTGTTGTGTTATATGACAGTTATTATATCATATATCATATGATGGTCTGAGTTTTTTCTGACAATTGGTCGACAGTTTCCAGCCTTTAGCTACTTTAGGGATCCAACTAGCCAGCATCATGTTTTGTTGATCTTGGAGTAGTTTAGATAAATAGTCGAAGGAAGTTTAGAAGTCAAACTTCCGACAATATGGACAGATGAAAAGCAGAGCAGGGCAGAGGCACAGAGAAGGGGAAGATTAGAAGAGAGAAGAGCAGAAGAGAAAGAGTAAGAGGACAGAAGACACAGATGCGCGAAAAGGTAGGAAAG